CCCGCCTCTCGCCTTCCCCCCCCCCTCCGTCCCCGCTCCCACGCCTTCACCCTGCATAGCGTTGCCTCGTTTCCATGATGCTCCAACCCATCCCTCTCAGTATCTCAAGCACGTTTCCCTTGCCTATCGCCCTTTCCCCTGCCTCTCTTCTTCCCTACTTCGATCATTTTATCTCCTTTACACCATCCATATATTTTGCCCGTCTCTCCACCACCCATTCTAAACTTCCACCCAAATTTCTCCTCCCCAGGCATCCTTGCTTCCATTTAAATCACTCCCACATTTCCCTTCTTCTATTTATTTCTCTCCCTATCTCACCTCACCCTCGTCACTCCTTTCTTTTCTCCAAAGCTTCCTTTCTCTCTTCCCTTCTCATGTCCGTTCTCTCACCTACGAGTACAGTGCCTCTTACCTCCCAACTCCCGTTTCCCTCACATCCCTCGATCCTTCTCTCCCCTCCTCCACTTGAACCATCCCTACTTGTCTCATTTCCCAATGTCTTTCTAATCGCACTCATGTCTTATAGTGGGTCAATTTCAATACTACTCTTGCACACTTTCTCTAAGTTCCAAACAAGCTACTCAATTTGAATTTTACAAAACGTGTAACGTATATAAAGTATGTTTGAAAAAGTGCACTAAATAATTATGCTGTGAACATGAGTTATTTTTACATTTTTAAAGCATTTGTGTGTGCTTGTGGGTGTTTGTGTGTAATTTCAACGTTTCATCTCGTGTTCACAAGGAAAGCCATGCACTAATGCCAGTATACGAACACAATCTTTAGTAATGGTATTTATTTCATCTACAACGAAAATGAATAATAAGAAGCGATTATCCTTTTTGCAGTGCACGTAATGCAGGTTGTTTATTGAATTGGACACTTCATTTAAATAGTTGTCCACATATACTACGAATCGAGATCGGCAAAGACCTTGTAGCACTCTTTTAATTTCAAAGAATTCAAACTGTTTTGCAAATCATTCATTTGAACATGCTTCACAATTTCAGAAAAGAGATAATACTACTTTTTTTCCTACGTGAATCTTTGGGCAATGTCAAACGTACGTATACAGCCTAAGTATTCAGCTGATTCAGGATTTCTCCCTAAAGGATAAGCCAAAGTTATACGAGCAGGAGTAAGCACAAAAGCAGTTGTTAAAGGGATATATTGCTCAACTACCTGTCCTCGTTGGTAATTACTACGTGTTAAGAAAGAAAGTAGTGCCATGCAGAAATGGAAATAAAACCTCGCGTGCAGTTAAATATGTCCCTTCTCGACAGCTATTCGTTTATCACTGGATCTTGGATGTCTATTGTTTCCCATCAATGCAATTAGTATCCTACGCATCGACGCAAAAGAAACAATACTTGCATCTCCAAAACAGGGATTTTACAGGACACAATAGAATTCATTTTTAAATAATCTCTAGTAAAAACGAAACGTTTCTTTTATGATATGCACAGCAAAAAGTTCAATTTTTAGTACTAGTGCTAAAAATGAAACGATGCTAAAATGTTCAGATCAAACTTTGAATGCAAAAAAGGAAACAAAATACTATTATCTGAATGCATCTTCTACTATTGATCGTAATGCAACGTAATTGCTGATTATTTGATTTATATGTTTGAATTAAAATAAAAGTAAAGTCAGAAAGGCTCTCTAAAAATAGTAAATGACACAAGTAGAAAAATATATTTTAAAATCCTCGTAATATGCTAACTTAAAATAAAAAGTATTAATTTTTTGTCGTTAACGGGTTGTGTATAAAAAAATGATAATTATTAGTGTTAACGTCTTAAAAAATTTGGTTAGCTTCTGCAAATTAGTATTATAAATAGTAATGCACAATTTAATTATTTGTATAACAGTTATTCTCAGTTATTATTTGCAATATCTACTCTTAGAGTTTTATCAAGAGTCAACTTTGCGTCCCCAGTTCTTGTATATAATTTCATTTTCTTGACTGCTTAATGAACATAAGATGACATTTTTTAGTTTGCCAGAACTACTAAATTAACATTTTTAGTACAAGAACTTATCATCTACAATCGACCTAATTTCTTGACTTTTCTTTCCCATTCTCCCATTGCAAAATCCACCTCTGCCTTCCCACCGCCTGGACATCTCCGCTGCTACCTCCGCAACTCCAAAGCCTCCTTAACATCTGTTGCTTCCAGTCCTAACATCTAAATATGAAGATAAGAGCAATTCCATGTATTTCCGAAACAGACATTGCACAGAAGATCAACAAAATTAGTTGTTCTTTCTAATCCTATTCTAAGTTTTATTCTAGTGTAAAATAATTAAAAACATAAATAGAAAATAGTGGGTCTTATATGTAAATTATATTGAAGAGTAGACAACTATTGCACTGGATTGAAAGCAAACATCAATAATTTTAAAAGTTCTTTTTTGGTAAAGAGACACAAAGTGTCGTTTCTTAGATTCGAATTTTTTGCTATTGTTGCAGGTGCGGCCTCATCTGGACCTTACGTTCGACAACATTCTGTCACACATCAACACAGTGTACGTCCTCAAGACCAAACCGGGGGCTATGCACGTGACTGCAGACGTGACTGCAGAATACAGCTCCCTGCGACTCAAGGTACGATGTTCGCCAATCACCATGTCGTAGTCACTGATCCTCAGTCTCCGAATCAGGGTCATAGAAGTGTGTAAACGCGGGAAGGTGCCTAGCCCTACGTCGTGACATATATTGTTTTCGTAATATGGTAATTTCTTAATGTTCACTCTTTTAACCTGACAATTTGGGCAATTACTCTACGACATGCGGGGAAGAGTATTCCCAAGCTTCTAAGTAACCCTTTACAACGTTCAGCATAAAATAAATTCCATTGATTAATTTTATAATTCAAGTTCGAATTTAATTTCCCTTGTAGTATTTGTTTTGGTAAAATGCAGAGTCGTATGAAAATAATAAAATGTATTGGAAAAGGGTAGCCAGTCATGTAATAGCCCCTCTTTTGTTGAGAGACCAATGTTCATAGACCTTTAAAAATGTTTGCAAAATGGTTTTAAATGCGCCGTGGAGGGATCACTAAGAACTGAGCTGCTCAAATGAAAGAATTGAGATAAATTTCTGCCCGCTGTGGCGGCTCGCGAGCCATTTGCCTTCATATAGACTAGAGCCGATTGCGCCCGACGATTCTTTAGACGGGCTGACTTATTAAGCAGCTGGATCGTACACCGATGGCTCGCTGGGGTGGGCCAAGGCGCGCCTAGTAGGCAAATCTATTGAGCTCAGCCCTGACATAGATGATGCTATTTCTACCCCTGGGTGACATGTTACGTGAAAGATTATAATTTAGTTTCTCACAAGTTTCTGGTACATCATAAGTTTAGGCCCACTGTGTTTCAAGAAATATTTCGCGTTTTGAGAAAAAACAACAATAGTTTCAGTGACTTTACCTCAGATATCTCAGAATGTTTGTTCGTTAAAATATTTTGCAAACATCATGTTGGTTAACTGTGGTTTGCTTGAAAGGGACCTGTTGTAATGTAATAAAAAACGATAGAGGGACGCAAGCAAACCTAAAGTTTGACAATCACTCTTATATTACGATTTTATTATTTTAAATTTATAATAATACACGATATTAATTTAAATATTAATTTTCAATATAATACATTGTATTAGTACAATACAATATATTAATATAATGTTTTGAAATAATGTGTCGTTATAATATTATTAATTAATATCTTTATTGATGTTATGATAATCTAATATTCGAACGTTGTTACAAAATAATAATATTGTTATAAAATTCGACGTTGGAACAAAGACTATTTTGAAAAAATTAATTAAAACTTCTAATAATATGTAAGGCATTAGAATGTATTCTTGAATTCATAAAGAATAAGTCAGTTTTCCTACCTAGCGCATTACTACGTATGTAAAACATGAACAACGATAGAGGTTATCCTGGTTTAAAAAAGTGAAATCATACAAAACCTTTGTGGAGTGGTATGATAAGGAGACTTCTGGCTGTAATAACTATTTTCAACTTTAATATGTTCTGAGCCCAATTATTTTTTTTTTTGTTTCAGGGTCAAATGCTTTACATTCCTGAATCAGACCTCATGATCTTCCTCTGCTATCCTAGTGTTGTCAACTTAGACGATCTTACACGGTAAGTTAATCTCATTTTGAATTTATTTTTTTCCTCGATTTTAGAATTGTTTTATTAAGAAAATTTCTACTGACTATTGTCTGAAATGTTCAAATATTCTTTTAATTTTTAGATAAGAATAATTTCATTTCAAATCATACTTTCATTTAACGTAAGTTAATTATTTACGATATCTTCATTTGACGTATTTTAACAGTTTACCTTATTATCATATGCAATGCATCAAATCATTTTTTAAACGTTTTATATTTCTCCCTGCCAGGGAGAATTACGGAAAGGAAAAAGTGTGTTCTTTCATTGTACGAGATGTATAAATTTACGAAACGAAGTTGGCAGTATAGCAATTCGATAAACTAGTAGCTCCTTTCTTGTAATAGAGACAGTCCAATACTTCAGGGATTCGTGATGGAACTCGGTATAGACGTACGGTGGTCCTTAACAATTTTTTGTGAAGGGTGTGTTTCTTGTGCGTTCATAAAGTGAGTGAACAAAATGTGCATCAACTGATTTATCATATTTTGCTTTAGTCTGTTGCAATACAGCAGTCGCATAGCAGATTCTTGCCAAATCCGGCAAATACGAAGGGAAGCAGGAATCAACGGCGGAGCCCAAAATGAGATACAATATAACCGAAGGAAAATGCTATCTATAAATGATACGGAAAAAGTCATGGCAACTATTTTTTTCTAAAACAAATATTATCGTATGGCTCAATATTATTCGCAGGGTGAAAGAAATTCTGCAGTAGGGCGTGTTTACATCAACAGATGGATCTGAGAATGTCTCTCTTAGCACAGGAAGGAACGTGAAATCAGTTGTTCGACAACCGCCGAGCGAGATGAATGTAACCCGTTTCGAGCAGCGCTCATACTCTGTCGGGCGGCGGTTCTCCACGATACAAATGCCCGAGAATGTCACACGGCGACTGCTGTAAGCTCTTAGGAATAACGACCTTCCGTACCGGTCACTCGCGAGATGTGCAACCGGTGATCAGCAGCGCACGTGGCGTTCTGTGAGTATGCGGACCGAAATGGGACGTGAGGTAATTCACCACTACCTAATCGGGCATTTTAGGCATGTAATGCTTTTGGAACGTGCTGAACTCGTACATGGTACAATGCTTTGTAATATGAAACCAGAACTGTTATTTTGAATAGCTCAATAAACACGAGAAACACAGGTTTGGCGTGCCGTTAACTGTACATGCACTAAGTTTGTATTTCCATGTGTATATTTCACATTTTCCATCCAAGGTCGTGTTCTCACAAAAAAATTGTTGACATGACTAATTTCCAACCCTCGTATATACGTTAATAAACTTCTGATGCCCCTTAACATACTTATTTATTAGAATTGTGACTTTTTCTTTTACCTAAAATTAGTCTCTCATCTCGGAGACTATTTGGGATATTAAAGAAAACGGCTATTCATATATCAAGAGTTGACCAACTAAAGGCGAATACAGGATTTGAATTCATGATGTGCTACAAATTGTGTCCTCTGAGCTGTGTGGCGTTTTTAAGACAGTATTTTGGAGAAGACAATTTGGAATTGCAATTTCATTAAATTGCGTTAAAAATTATGCTAATTACCAACCCTCGTATATACGTAAATAAATTTCTGATGCCCCTTAACATACTTATTTATTAGAATTGTGACTTTGTCTTTTTCCAAAAATTAGTCTCTCATCTCGGAGACTATTTGGGATATTAAAGAAAACGGCTATTCATATATCAAGAGTTGACCAACTAAAGACGAATACAGGATTTGAATTCATGATCTGCTACAAATTGTGGCTTCTGGGCTGTGTGGCTTTTTTAAGACAATATTTTGGAGAAGACAATTTGGAATTGCAATTTCATTAAATTACGTTAAAAATTATGCGTTGCACATACTTTAAATTTTTTGTATGTAAATCACGTAGGGGAAAAGCAAAAATTTCCTTATCTTGGAAATACTTAGAATAGTAAAGAATGAATGTGCATGTCGTGAAGTCCGATTGGGTGTTGTCGACAGAAATGTTCGACTGACACAACTCGAAACTTCAAAATTTGTCTCTTTCTAGCCTAAGACACGACGAAGAGGCTGATCCCTGTATACCACACATCAACAATTCCTCGTATTCAATTCAATCGTATTCAATTCAATTATGCCTTTTTGTGTGGCGAGGCTCAGGCCCTCAGCTTTCCAAAATCCACAAATTTAAAAATCCTCTGCTTTTCAAAATCCAAACCCTCATAGAACCACAATCGGGTTTGAAACAGCACACATGGGGATATCAACCCGAAACGCTAACCGTTACACCACGGATATATCGTTACGCCACGAATACATATCGTTACATACTTTACTTAGTGTACCCACCTCGTGATGTCTAAAGTCAACGTCATTCGGCTTACGTCCGGTGATTTTAATATGTTCCTCCTTCGCACTCTTTCCAACCATTTCGAATAGTGTGAACATTAACCGTCTAAATTCATTTCCCTATGCGCGTGCTCTGCTCAGGCGCGGACTGTTCATCAGCGACATCCCGCTGCACGACGCCACGCGGGATCTGGTGCTCATGTCCGAGCAGTTCGAGGCGGACTACAAGCTCACCCGCAACCTGGAGGTGCTGACGGACCGCTTGCAGCAGACCTACCGCGAGCTGGAGAGCGAGAAGCAGAAGACCGATAGGTGAGTGCGGAATCCCTCAAAAAATGGTGCCCTTTGTCGGTCAGTGCCCTTTCTCTGTAAGGAGGATATGATTAATTGATTATTTCTGCGCACGTCAACTGCTAGGGTGCTTAGTCCCGTTAGTATAGTTAAGGTTTCACCGCGGAAAGTAGCGGTGTTCGTTCACCGCTGGAAGATGAAACACGGCGCCGACCTACACGTCAGCATGAGAGGGGTATGCTCCTCTAGGTTTCTCCCCCAAGCGGGGCATCTCCCCACACGGGATAAGCTCTGGATATGTGTGGTTATGTAGTGCATGTAAGAGTAAATGTATAGATCCTTAAGGGTTTAAGTTACGGCAAGTAAGAGAAACGATCATGTATGATCTGTGACGAGAAAACAATAGAAAACTAACAATCGGAGCAGCTGACTGCTTGAACCCGCCCCAGGCAGTGGCTGAATTCGACCAAGTTGTATAGCTAGTATCTAAAATCTGCCACATTTTGAACTCGAACCATAGGACCTCCCGGTCAGACTCTCAAAAGACAGCGGCAATGCTCTGAAGTCATCTAGTTCACCTACACCGTTAAGGAGAATTCGACTGTTATTGTACAGAGCTTGCTTAATGATTATTAATGGTCCTTAATAAACCTGAATCAATTTAAAAACGAATATTTTGAGTATGATAAGCAGCAACATAGTCAGAATATTGAGACTCTATCAATAATTTGTAGTTAGTGATATTAGAATATTAGTTAAATCTCTAATTGAGATAAAATAAGAATTTTATAGCAAACTTCAATGTCTACCTTTACTAAAGAAATAGATCGAATTGTCATAAGTGTCTGAAGATACAAGAAATTGTGTCTACAGTACCTTTCTGGACTTATGTAACAGTTCCTAGTCAATATCATGTAACAAAAGGCTACTAAACTGTAACTTGCTATAAAGTTACAGTTCCTCTCATCCTTAATTATTTCAACTGACATCGAGGGACACTTAATCCACGTTCCCATAGGAGACAATTAACTAGTCAATTTATTGTCGTCAATCAATTCTTCAACTTTTGTTCACGACCACCAAGATTCGTGGAATGAAATCCTGAAGCGACTGACCATAACGACGCGGCGACTCTCCATTCGCCTCATTCTTGCGGCAATTTGCTGGGTAAGCTTCCGTTCGCTCGGGTGCATCGCGATTCCCCAGCCCGGCGACTCAGCGAATTTTCCAGCGCCCCCTGCAACCGCGGGGATTACCTCTCTCCAAGCGGAGAGAGAGCCGTCCCTTCCTCCTCCGCGTCTTAGCTATGGATTTCTTCCTTCCGCTCCGTTGGCGCGCTCGTTTTCCCTCGAGATGTTGTTTTTGCTTAATTCCGGTTGCGGAAGCGCCCTTAAAAATTTAAACAGCTGCCCAAAACTGGTATATATTTACCAATTAATGGTCAACACAAAAACGAGTAGACTTAGAGGGAGATGAAACTTCTGGTTAACAAGTTTGGATGCAAAAATAATGTATCTAATTTAATATTTTTATACTTTATTTATGATTTTATAATTTATTTACCTATTAATTTATATTTTGACCATTTGTCTATTGTCCTACTTTCCTATAAGCTGCCTATTCAATGTCATCTCTGTTGGTTGCTAAAAAAATCAATGAGCTATTGGCTCTCTAAATTGTGAAATTTGACTTCTATACACCAATTAGTGATCCTAATTCTAGAATAAGTTTTTATCGTTACTCCGATGATTATTGAAGTTTCTAGATACAATGAACATAATCAGAAGTTATCGTACTTTGAAATTCATATAAATTAATGTATTTGTACGTATTTCAAAGTACGTAAGTTTGTGGAAGAAATGTTTTTGTCATCACTTCATTTCATGAAGAAATACATTTTGTGCAAAGCACAAAACGTCCCTGGTAAAGGTAAATGTGTGACAGACACGTTTTATACCTCTTTAATTGGGAATCACTAAAAACCAGAATTTCCAAAACGTAGTTTTATCTTGAGAATTGTTCGCGATGTCTTTGGTTATGCAGAGACTTGCAGCATCGTTCAAAGTATGTGATGCCAAAGGTAGCCTATTCAATTAATAGATTTTTTGGCGTCCCGTAAGTGTGTTGTATGTTTTATCACGATAAATGGCAGTGTTCTTCCGCTGCTGGCTGTTGAGATCCGACGCCGATCTACATTTCTGGCGAGGTCCCCCATCTAAAACTCTCCCACCAATGGGGCACCACCCCCGCTGGAACAAGCTCCAAGCTCCCGACTGGTGTGGAAGTATAGTGCATGTAAGTGTCAGTGTGTGAATAAGGGATGAGAACAAGGCACGGAAGGGGAAAGAAAGTTCGCGCGCGTCCCCTGGCCCGGTTGTTGGGTTATTGCTCCGACATTTGCCTGATATTGATCGGATAAGTCACGGCAACTTCCGATCAGAGCTGCCAGACCCTAGAATTCTCCAGAAGAAAATTTTGATTTCGACGTAGTTATCTAGCTAGTGTCGAAAATTCCGCCCACGTTCGGACTCAAACCCTAAGAACTCCCGATCAGAGACACTACAAGGACATTCGTTGACAGCGTATTCAAGCTTCGCGTAAGGCATTAGTGTTTTTTAATGGGGCTAATGATCTAAGTAGTTGACGCGCCTGGAATAGAAATACACTTACTCATACATCATAACCTTTGTATTTTCCACCACAATTTTATTTTCATGATCACCCCCACCATCCTTCATTCAGTGGATGGCATTGTCTAACTCTCACAGTGGTCCCTTTCGATTTTAAAAGGACGCCATAAAGGCGTTAACTCCTTCCTCGCCTAAACACTCTGAGTATTAGGACGTAAGTCATCATCATATCGGACGCTATTAGGTTGTAGAAGTGAAAGATTTCGGTTGAAAGTAACCTTATAAAAAATAGGAGAAACAGCTGCACGGTATACTACATCAAAGTTTTCTATAATACAAGCATATCGTCCTTCCGCGTTCGTCCATGTCACTATTTCTAGTACACACAAGCAGTACTCACCCATTCTTTCCCGAGTCCCTGGAGCGACAATTAAGGCGGTGCGCTCCTGGCGAGCGGATGTGAAATTATTAGCACGTCCCTCAGCTGTGTAATTGCCGTCCTATGCGCGCGTCAGCGTCAGGCCCGCAGACGCAGTCAGTGGAGGCTATCAAATTCTAATGCGCCGGGGAGGGGCGAGGCGAGGAGAGCGAGCCGAGGTGACTTAACTGGAGGCTAATTACGGAGGACATCGGTGAGTGATGTTGTGGGGCGGATTAGCCGCGGGAAGGGCGGGCGGAGGGCGGCGACAAGGAAAATTAAAGAGGGGCGAACAAAGGAAGAAAGGCTGGCGAGGTTAGAAAATGCTCTTTAAGCTGACGGAGGACGTGTTAATTTCACTCTGGGTGCCGGTGGTCACTGCGGGCTGCCTCTTTGTGGATGTTGGCGAAGTAGAATATCCATTAGAGAAGAAGCAAAAAAACCTTTTTTTGTAACACTATGATAAATATTGAAAATACTTTTTTCAAGAAGTTTTAACCGCTTTTAATGTACTTTTCTTTGTACGTAATACCACCCTAGGAATGAGGAATAGGTAAAGGTTTCACATTCCATGTGTTTGTGAACAAGGAAGTAATCACCTTCTTGTAACAATTAACTACACGTTTGCCAATAATACGTTGTACAAGAAACAGATTGATCGATCATTAATTCATTATAATAATACTAGTAAGCAAAAAAATGGTAATCCACAGGGAACAGCTGTTACCCAACAGATCGCGCGGCCAACATTGAAGAGAGTACATACCGAATGCCAATATGATTACGATAGATTTTTCTCTGATGATACTTTATGAGAAAAGTGCCTTGTTGTTCAGTTTGTATCTTTGATACTATTTATGTTTAGTTAAATTTAGTTATGTTAAATTTAAAATCCTATTTTCATGCCTAATAGTTGCGAAATGTCTGTATAATCTTGGTCGTTAATAAAATAAAATAGAATGAATTCGAGTCATTTAACTATTAGAAACTTGTGTTAATACTGTTCAGATTTTATAATATTCGCTTCCTTAGTTAATTTTTTAAGTTATCTCTAATTGAGAAATATGAAAAAATAAACATTTTAATAAGTATTAACAACACAGAATTCTAATATATATATATATATATATATATATATATATATATATATATATATATATACTCTACATGGAGAATTTTATAATTAGCATGCAGAACATTATCAGGTACTCTTTATGAGTAACCCTTTATTACACTCAATTTTACACTTAGTAAGAGTTGTTTGATAATTGTTTCTGTGTACGGAACAAATTAGAAACTCTTGTATTCGTACCTGGATGTAAACAGTGAATATAGAATAGATAGAAGTTGTAAATTTGACCCATTTTCGAGCCCAACACGTCTTAAGTAGCTTATGCTTTTCATACATTGGCTACATTTACTTCGAGATTCTTCCAAAGTTATATCAAGTACATTTGAACACAAAGTATGGAGAAAACCTCTAAATAAGATTGTATAGTCAAACAATTCACTCTAAAACTAATAAAAAGACGTAGAGTGCATTCCCGAAAGAAGATCCAGTAATGAATGTTTGCAGATTTGAAGGCTTGGTATTACATTAACTGCAGAAATTTAATTAGACCAACTCTTATTTCATAAATTACGACAGCATACCACCCCTACGTGCAGTTAAAAAAAATTACGTCCATCAGAGAGAACATAGGACATGGAAAAATGAGAACTATGAACACGTCACTAAAGTAATTTTAACGAATCGTGGCTACATGTAGCAGTATGTTTTCCTTTGGTGATTTGCATCCGTGTTGGGAGTTTGTGATTAGTTGCGCCGCAACTTCATGACTTTGTTACGCGTTTCGCGACGCGGAAAAGGCGTGTTAAAGCCCCGCCCTCTCCGCTGCCTCCCTGCGACACGCGTGTTGCAGCAAATTAGGCGAAGTAGGGTGGGAGGAGTAATGGACCATGTACCAGTTGGA